GCAAACGTGGAAGGTGTTAAAAAGGACATTGACATATTTTTTGCTTCAAAGCCAAGTGATTTCTTTAATCAGGGCATTAACAACCAACCTGGTTGTAAGATGGAAAAGCATCTTCAATAGGAATGGAGACTATTTCATTTAATAAATGTTGTTTGGGTTTTTTTCATCTAAAAAAAGTAACATTAATTTCTTGACAACAATATTATTTTCTAGGTTTATATTTTCATGTATGAATGACATCATATTCATAGTCAATCGGTGGAGTGAACTCCTTTTTGAGTTCAGGATGAGACCTGTAGTTGAGAACACGTTCTCAACTGGTACACTTGAACAGGGAATACACAAATATTTTTTTGCTGTACTGGCTAAGCTTGGATAACTACATGCTTTATTTTTCCAGAAGAGCAATGCATTTGCCCACTCAGCTTTACTAGGCTGGTGCAATTGATACTGCAATATTTCACCTCTAAGCTCATCAAGATCTGAGGTGTTCTCACCCATCAGTAGATTTAGTAATTTCATTTTCTTTGATGTAGAACCAGACTATGAATCAGTATTTAAAGATGAAGCAACCATGTCGGATATGGTTGGACATACATTTCCAAAAGGGATTTAACTACCTCTTCCTTGGGTATTAGACAAGAAACTGCAGGGTCCAGGGCACATGCCACTTTTGCAACTTCTGATAATTTAAGGCAAGAGTTTATTTTGGGGGTTATCACTTTTTTGACATATTTAATTGCTGGATTATCCTCTTGCTGTATTTGACAAACTTGCTTATTTCGGCCTCTATTAGTGGGATAGCTGCCAGACTGTTTCCTGAGAGCCCATGAAATGGTCAGAGGAAACTAACTAGACTTTCCATCATGTGCAGCATTCATTACTAGGTCATACTTCCCAATTTTTTTAAGCATATTCATGCATGACTATTTTAATGAAAGTATGGATTTCAACATATTAAGAGAACTATTCCACCTAGTACAAATCTGCATTTTCAGACTTTGTGACTGTGATGTGACCTTAAGTCACCTGAACTACCTTCATCCAGACCAGAGTCTTGCTGATCAGCCTCTTATTCAAAGGGAAACTGTTCATCAAGCTGCATAACATTGCAAGCCTCTGAAATACGTTGAAATATTTCAAGGTCTTCTCTAAACATAGCATCCTGGCTGTTTGAGTATGATTTGTAATGTATGGTAGTCACAATATTTATAGCTTTAGTAAGTAACTCAGAAACTGTTGGGATTTTTGAAACCCATCCTCAGTAAGTAGTAAGTGCAAACAATGAGCAACACAATGCTGTGGTTCTTGAATACTTAAAAGTCTTGATAATTTTATGACATTTGCTGCACCATCAGTTACAGGATGCAATTTTAGTTGGCATGCATCTTTTCTAAAAAAAGTCAAAGATAACTTTTAGGTTTTCTTTCATATTTACAGCAGTGTGGCCTTCTAGTGACATACAGTTCAGTGTGAAAATATTAACTTTCCAATCCAACATGACTGCAACTTGCACTCCTAGGAAAGGCAGTTTTTGATACTTGTCTGACCACTCATCAAACATAATAGTGGCAACTTCAGTACTGATAGCTGATGCCTGATATGCTGCTTAATTGTTTTATACATATCTACAAGTGGGGCCTTTCCCAATGTTGACCTGTCTGGCAAATTAATGCCAAAATTTTTTTGGTGAATTTCCTGAACCCTGTTTTTGCCACAATGTTGAACTGTAGCAAGTCTTCACTTAGCCAGAGAATAAGGTCTCTGTTCAAGTCATATCCTGAGTATGCTACAGTAGGTTTAAGCTGGCAGTAATTTGTGAGAGTGTTGATTTGCTTCTTTGTTATTCTTTCTGTGTCCATGTCTATTCCATGTTTCTTGAAGAGATGAACTTTCATGTTGCCAGTCCCTGTTCTTTTCTCAAGCTTCTGGATACGGGATATATGAGCCAATTTATTTGACTTCAGATGTTCTTGCTCATGTGTTAAACATGGTTGACAGTAATACACATATTTCCTAATGATATAGCTGTTCTTTCCACCAACAGTCCATAATACTGCCAAGCTTTGCTCGGTCACTTTACCTTACTTGGATCTGGTATAATTTTGTATGTTATTAATTTGGCATTTTAGGAAGCCAAATTAACTGACACATTGTTGTTTGTGACTTTACGCTTCCCTGACCCCAAACAGTACAACTTTTGACTCATTTGGACTTCCTGGTGTACAATGGGATCTACAAAAAATCTTTTTTTTATTAAGTTAATTTCATAATTTCATCAAAATAATATACAGTAGTTTTTTAAGAATTTAGATATATCCATTTAAATAGTCAGTGGAGAATATATTAAAATAGTATTAGTGATAGATTTAATGAAAGGTTTTTTTTATCCTTTCTTTATTATTATTTATATTACATTATTTGAATAATATTTATTTCATATTATACATTTTGTAAATATGAAGTAAATAAATAGTAATAAGGAAAGCATGAGTCTCTCATAACTTGTAATATTTTATAGTTTAGTAAATACTGTGTTTATGTCTGCAGACCTATATACCTTCAGATTACACCACTCTGTAGCCCTATGGACTCACCAGCTTCTGTGTGTACTAGGCCTAAAATGTAGCATGCACACGAGGAACGGACTCGCCCGTTTAGTTTTTAGGGGTGACAGGTTGCACCATTTTGGTTATAATTCAACCAGCTCTTTCAGAGCATGTATACTGTACTTTTGCTTAATATCACAATAAATTGTCTGTTTAATAATATATGTTAATACAGATTAATGTAAATCTTTAAGTATATTGGCATAATAGGGGTGTTTCTAGTGGCTTCCAGCCACGTGTGTTGCTGAAAGATGTAGGTCTAGTTAACATTAGTAGTTAATTAGGCTATATCTAGTAAAATCGTAGATTTGCCTGACTGACA